GGTAAATGTTTACTAATGTTTTGCTGCATATTTTGTATAGATAGGGATGTATTTTTACAAGGCTTTCTGATTTATATGTTAGATATTGTTTTGTTTATGTTTGGGGCTGTGTATTGTAATTGAGTTTGAATATTTTTATAATAGAAGGTAATATGATAGTGAGGTTCCCTCATAATTGTGGGGGGGAAATCATATAACTGTATTTTTCGAGTTTAATAAATGTTTCATCAGCATTTCCATCACATCTGTTGTGTTGATATTAGTCATGTTGGTGGTCAAGCTGAAGTAGTGGGGCAGTGTTCTATACGTGCGCAGTGAAGGGCAATGAAATCAAACGCATTTTTAATCCAAAAATTTCTAATTGCCTATGTGTAAAATTCGAAAGTCAGCGTCAAAATCCATGGAGTTGTTGTTATGATCTGCCATCATTGTGGTCAAACGGAAGTAGTTCTCACAATAAGATCTGTTAATGCGCGGTGAAGCGGCCTTACAATCAGATGAGCGTCAATCCACAATTGATGCCGTCTGATTTTTCTGAACAACCAATCAGAATCTAGTATTTTCTTGATTCATGGTAGAAATGTTGTTTAACACCGCACTCTGCAATATTCAAGTTATATGGTGGTGGTCTGTAAATAATCGAGCATGGACCAGACAATCCAGTGATTAACAGCATGAGCATCGACCTACGCAAATGGGATATGATGACATGTGTCAACCAAGTCTGCAAGCCTGACCACCCAATCCTGTTAGTTGCCTCTTATGACATGCATGGGTTACTGAAGATAAATTCTAACTCGGATCTTCACGGGTTCAACAGCATGAGCATCAATCTATACAAATGGGATACAATGACCTGTGTCAACCAAGTCTGCAAGCCTGACCACCCGATCCTGTTAGTCGCCTCTTACGACACACATGGGTTACTGAAGATAAATTCTAACCGGGATCTTCACGGGTTCAACAGCATGAGCATCGACCTACGCAAATGGGATATGATGACATGTGTCAACCAAGTCTGCGAGCCTGACCACCTGATCCTGTTAGTCGCCTCTTACACCTGTGAAAGGAGAGCCTGAAGTGCCTGGTGAAACACACAAGTAGATCACGGTGCTGATAAATCCAGAAACATAATCATGATAAAGTTTCCAGAATAATAATGATGAGAATATTTATAACGAGCCTTTTCCAGGCTAGATATCCTGCTCAAAGCGCACAATCTGATCAATATTACCCTGGATAACCAAAGCTGCCTGTTAGGCACTAGAGGGTTAATAGTCTCACGACTCATTCACCGGGTACCCATTTTCTGCTGGGTGAACAGAGGCAATTTTGAACAAACTCACTTGCCTAAGTTTTACACCTTTCTGTCTTCCTCAACAAATTTTAAGGAAACTTGTATGAAGCACCATCCAGAAACTACTTACCTGAAACTCCAGCCAATGTGTGATATTTACCAATTGCAGGTAACATTTCGAACAATGCTACAGCCCTATTGGTGGGATGTAAAAAAACTGACTATTCATTTCCTAGTGAATAACTGTGATGTGGAGGTAAATGTTGTAAAGGTCACTGCCTGCAAGTCAGATAGAGTAGTTTGCAGAGAGCTACTCCAGTAATAATCTTCTTGCATAGTTTGAAGGCCAGGACTTCATTACTGCAATTAGGCATTTGAACTTGATGGTTTACCAGCGTTTTTTGTACAATATATTTTTTAAAGTATTTGAGATGTTCTAGTTTGGGAATGTAGTGTGTATGTGATACTGTAACTTAGTTTAAATGTTTTTGTATTGAAATGGTAGACCATCATCTAAGGCAACACACTTCTGTCTGCTCGGTGCATCCCTTGGTGGTGATGTGTGGTAGAGCTCAGGTCACAATCAGTTGAAGTTAAGCAACGTTGGGCACGAAGAGTCCTTGGATGGGTGACCATGTTTGGCAGTTTGACTCCTGAGAGTTTCTAGGACTTCAGTCCTGCTCCACAATGAAGCACATGTGATACATGTGGTCTCACCTTAGGCAAGTGAGTTTGTTCAACTTCACATGATGTGGGAGTACAATGATAAACCAGTCAAGATTAATTCAAGAAAGATAAGTGAGGACAAGTGAAAAACACTTGTAAAACCTTGTAAAAAATGTAAAACCTTGAATGTCGAAAAAATTCGACTTGGATAAGTTGGATTACCTCCAGATGAAGGCCGAATGATGACAGGAAAAACTCCGTGAATTGGGTTTATTTTTTTTATTTTGATTCATTTGCGTTTTCAAACAGTTTCCTAACCCAAATTTACACAAGAACACATTTCAATCACAGGAAATCCACCCTCGCCATTTACAGGCTTACATAAAGTGTTCTTTTGATCTTATCTGGCTTTGCATTGCAAAGATACTAAAGTAACATTTTATTCAACTCTTTCAGGAAACTGCCATTAGGGTTTCAGAATTCTGCAGGTGGCACACTTCTTTTCATCCACAAAGTAATTACTACTTTGTTCTTCTTTTTATTAAGCTTGTAAATATGTGGCTAAAACAGTTTGTGGTTTGTTAATTTAGTTGCTATTTCTTGAGTGAGTGAGTTTAGTTTTACGCCGCACTCAGCAATATTCCAGCTATATGGTGGCAGTCTGTAAATAATCAAGTCTGGACCAGACAATCCAGTGATCAACAGCAAGAGCATCAGTCTATGCAATTGGGAACCAATGACATGTGTCAACCAAATCAGCGAGCCTGACCACCCAATCCCGTTAGTTGCCTGAAGATAAAGATCAATTCTAACCCCGACCTTCACAGGTTTGATATTTTTTTTTTTTTCTTGATATAATTCACTCCAGGTGGAATATAGTGACAACTAAACTTTGATAGTTTTGCAGACATTTTCTTTGAGGAGGAGCAGCTGGGTTCATTAATTTGTTAATATACTACTTCACTTTTGATCAAATTTGCTTATATTTCTAACAAAATTATTCTGAAATATGTTAAGTATATATTTAGTTATACCTGACATATATGTTCACAGAATTAACTTTGAGTGAGTGAGATGGTGGGTTTAGTTTTACGCTGCTTTTAGCAATATTCAAGCAATATCTCTATGGGGGACACCAGAAATGGGTTCACACTGTACCCATGGAATTAACTTTGAACACAATAAATGCGTAAGTGACCAATAAATCCTTTCATTTCCATTGTTCAAAGACATGTCAGGCTGAAAACTCCCTGTGAATCCTGCCACAGAGCTGTACACACAAAGCAATGTTCACTCATTTCCCCAACTTAGTCAACCTAATCAACAACAAATTCTTTCCACTTCTGGGAGCGAGGGCAAGTGACGTTTCACGTACACATTCCTATCAACATAGCTTGTGTTAAATTCAACACCTAAAGAGCATTAATAGTCTCAAACAAACCGTAAACCTTTGCACCTAAAGTGCCTAATAGTTACAAAACAAACCCTAAAACTAACATCTAATGGAGTTTGGGATGATACAACTTTATCGGGACAAGAAGGTGAGCAAACATCGAGACGAAGGTGATGAAAGTATTGTGCTGCCTGTTTAACCACCTTAATTAAGCTGTGTGGAAGCAACTTCACACATTCAGATCAAGATATGTTTAAACTGGACACAGCACAGTAAATACATTCCACATCAGGATAAACACTCACGGAAATCAAAAGAAGTTAAGATGGAGATTTCTCATCCTCATTGTAGGCCATGGACAGAGTTGTTAAATATGACTTTCTTTTTAAATGTTATAATTTTGTAATGTGGACTGACTGACTGACTGAGTTTAGTTTTACGCCGCTTTTAGCAATATTCCAGCAATATCACGGCGGGGGACACCAGAAATGGGCTTAACACAATGTGCCCATGTGGGGAATCGAACCCGGGCCTTCGGCGTGACGAGCCAACGCTTTAACCACTAGGCTACCCCACCGCCCCTTGTAATGTGGATGTTTGGATAGGAGATGTTCTGCATTCCTGAATGGAAGATGGACATATCCTCAATGAATCAACAGTCTCCTTGTACTTTATTTGAGGTGAGGTGAGGTGAGGTGAGGTGAGGTGAGGTGAGGTGAGGTGAGGTGAAATTGGGTTTTACGTTGTGCTTGAGAAAATTTCGCTCATATGACAACGTGCATGCGTGTGTATGTGTATGTGCGACTGCTTGTACTAGCCCAGACTGAAGCTGGTTTTATAGTGCTAGCCCACTGAGATACCATGCCACAGTTAAGCATGAATACCCCACTTAGACACATTATACTGACTCCGAGCTGACCAGTCCTTGTTGTATCCATTAATGCCGAGCACCAGGCAGGGACTAACAAGTACCATATTTTAACGTCTTTGGTATGACGCGGTCGGGGATCGAACCCGCGATCTTCCGCTCTCCGGGCCGACGCTCTAACCACTACACCACGGAGGCGGTCTGATTTTATTTGAAGATCTGCCGCACTACACCTTTATTTGCGATCTTCTGCACTACACCAAGGAGGCGGTCAGTGAGTGAGTGAGTGAGTGAGAGAGAAAGAAAGAGATTTAGCTGGAGTTGGGAGCTGGAGAGAAAGGCTTCATTATACCTAGCAAGGGGCTGAAACTTTGGCCTTCAGCTGGACTAGCAAAAGCTTGAACCATTAGATCACATATCGCACTTGATAAATGTCTCAAGATAGCAACATAATCTCTGGGATGGGTTTTACGTCATTTTATCATGATCAGCGATACCCACACAAAATCATGGTGTAAAACACCAAGAATGAATTTCATAGTATCATGTACGGAACGTTTTGGGTGTGACACGGCTATCTCCTGTTCATGGAGTGAGTGAGTTTAGTTGCTGCTTTCAGCAATATTCCAGCAATATACTGTTCATGCAAGACTAAGAATTTTTGGTTATTATCGACATGTGTTGACACATTTGATATCAAAAGACATATGTGATTCTCTTTGTATGCATTGAAAATGCATTGACTGCAATAGGTTCTGACATAACACTGATCTTACCTTTGCTTGTTGTCACGGTCTGGCTGCCAGGACCTTTCGGTTTCTGTAAACTGGGATTTCCTTCACTTTTACTGGTCAATGTTTTCTTGTTGAATTGTTCTAGTTCTCTGTCAACATTGTCAATTTCTGAAAGAAAAAAAGATACATACTTCAAGAGACACAATGAACTTTTTGAGTTTATTTCTATTCTTATTTAATTGTTTTTTTACACCACTACGAAAAACACCAAATGCTGCCGAGTCAAAATACAATATAGGCAAGTAGAAGTGAATAATATTCCTTAGCTATGCGCCAAAGATTTGTTTCTAATTACATATAATTGCATGTTCAACCAAAGCAATGGATTCAGTTATCATATTCAACAGTTACCATGGTTACATCATGGTAATATTCAACATATAAACCAGTAAAAAATGATTGAACCAATGAGGCAAAGTCACAGAACAGCTCTGAAATCATTTACGATGCAAAACTATTTTCGAACTAAATTAGCATCAAGCATTTGTTGTTGGATCTGACCCCTAAGGGTATCAAGCATTTGTAGCAGGATCTGACTCCAAAGGGCATCAAGCATTTGTTGTTGGACCTGACTCCCAAGGACATCAAGCATTTGTTGTAGGATCGGACTCCAAAGGGTGTACAGCTTGTCATAAGACCGGACTCCTAAGGGCCCCAGGTTTATTGTTAGACTCTTCTACCTGAGGCTACCTTGGACATCAATTTTGTTGTATGACCTTGTTCCCTAGGGCCCCTTCTAAGAATGACTTGACCACATTGTTTTACAATATGTGGTTGATTGACCGTGACTGTCCACTAATGGTTCAGATTGTTTGAGATGTAAGGACATGAAATCAGGTTTGCTGGTATGGAAATGAATGTCAAGACAATCATAACCTTAAAGCAGTAGACAAAGTAGACACACATTGCTCAGTGCATCAACCACAGTTCTGCCTGGCTAGATCCTAAACACTTTCCCTCAGTCACACTAATCATAATGTATGACAGTAGACACACGTTGTGTATTCTTGCTCAGTGCATCAACCACAGTTCTGCCTGGCTAGATCCTAAACACTTTCCCTCAGTCACACTAATCATAATGTATGACAGTAGACACAGTAGACACACATTGCTCAGTGCATCAACCACAGTTCTGCCTGGCTAGATCCTAAACACTTTCCCTCAGTCACACTAATCATAATGTATGACAGTAGACACAGTAGACACACATTGCTCAGTGCATCAACCACAGTTCTGCCTGGCTAGATCCTAAACACTTTCCCTCAGTCACACTAATCATAATGTATGACAGTAGACACAGTAGACACACATTGCTCAGTGCATCAACCACAGTTCTGCCTGGCTAGATCCTAAACACTTTCCCTCAGTCACACTAATCATAATGTATGACAGTAGACACAGTAGACACACATTGCTCAGTGCATCAACCACAGTTCTGCCTGGCTAGATCCTAAACACTTTCCCTCAGTCACATAACTAATCATAATGTATGAGTTCTGCCTGGCTAGTAGACACAGTAGACACACACATTGCTCAGTGCATCAACCACAGTTCTGCCTGGCTAGATCCTAAACACTTTCCCTCAGTCACACTAATCATAATGTATGACAGTAGACACAGTAGACACACATTGCTCAGTGCATCAACCACAGTTCTGCCTGGCTAGATCCTAAACACTTTCCCTCAGTCACACTAATCATAATGTATGACAGTAGACACAGTAGACACACATTGCTCAGTGCAACAACCACAGTTCTGCCTGGCTAGATCCTAAACACTTTCCCTCAGTCACACTAATCATAATGTATGACAGTAGACACAGTAGACACACATTGCTCAGTGCATCAACCACAGTTCTGCCTGGCTAGATCCTAAACACTTTCCCTCAGTTACACTAATCATAATATATGACAGTTGTCCCTTAAGTAAGCCAGAAACCTATGATTGTGTGTTTGAACCCCAGATGGTATACCACTAAACCTGTACACATAGATTTCACCACAGAGGTGAACTTCTAAAACCTGCATTGCTCTTTATAAACTGGGCCCCGTTTCACTCATAGGTATTTTCAGTAGCAATACGACTGTCGTAAGTCTTTGTAACAGTATATGAATTACAATAGTTGTAGCGCTGCAATAGCTTTGTGAAATGAGCTCTGACTTGTCAAGACTGACTGACTGACTGACTGAGTGAGTGACTGAGTGTCTGACTGATTGACTGAGTGTCTGACTGACTGACTGACTGACTGACTGAGTGACTGACTGACTGAGTGTCTGACTGACTGACTGACTGACTGAGTGTCTGACTGACTGACTGACTGAGTGTCTGACTGGCTGATGTCTGACTGAGTGTCTGACTGACTGACTGAGTGTCTGACTGACTGAGTGTCTGACTGACTGACTGACTGAGTGTCTGACTGACTGACTGACTGACTGAGTGACTGACTGACTGAGTGTCTGACTGACTGACTGACTGACTGACTGAGTGTCTGACTGACTGACTGACTGACTGACTGAGTGTCTGACTGACTGACTGACTGACTGACTGACTGAGTGTCTGAATGAGCGTCTGACTGACTGACTGACTGACTGACTGACTGACTGACTGAGCGTCTGACTGACTGACTGACTGACTGACTGACTGACTGACTGAGTGTCTGACTGACTGACTGACTGACTGACTGAGTGTCTGACTGACTGACTGACTGACTGACTGACTGAGTGTCTGACTGACTGACTGACTGACTGACTGACTGACTGAGTGACTGACTGAGTGACTGAGTGACTGACTGAGTGTCTGACTGACTGAGTGACTGAGTGTCTGACTGACTGACTGACTGAGTGTCTGACTGACTGACTGACTGACTGACTGAGTGTCTGACTGACTGACTGACTGACTGACTGAGTGACTGAGTGTCTGACTGACTGACTGACTGAGTGTCTGACTGACTGACTGACTGACTGAGTGTCTGACTGACTGACTGACTGACTGACTGAGTGACTGACTGACTGACTGAGTGACTGAGTGTCTGACTGACTGACTGAGTGTCTGACTGACTGAGTGACTGAGTGTCTGACTGAGTGTCTGACTGAGTGTCTGACTGAGTGACTGACTGACTGACTGACTGACTGAGTGTCTGACTGAGTGTCTGACTGAGTGTCTGACTGAGTGTCTGACTGAGTGTCTGACTGACTGACTGACTGAGTGTCTGACTGACTGACTGTCTGACTGACTGACTGACTGACTGACTGACTGACTGACTGACTGACTGACTGACTGAGTGTCTGACTGACTGACTGACTGACTGACTGACTGAGTGACTGACTGAGTGACTGACTGACTGACTGACTGAGTGTCTGACTGACTGAGTGACTGAGTGTCTGACTGACTGACTGACTGAGTGTCTGACTGACTGACTGACTGTCTGACTGACTGACTGACTGACTGACTGACTGACTGACTGACTGACTGACTGAGTGTCTGACTGACTGACTGACTGACTGACTGAGTGACTGACTGAGTGACTGACTGACTGACTGAGTGTCTGACTGAGTGACTGACTGACTGACTGACTGACTGAGTGTCTGACTGACTGACTGACTGACTGACTGAGTGTCTGACTGACTGACTGACTGACTGACTGAGTGTCTGACTGACTGACTGACTGAGTGTCTGACTGACTGACTGACTGACTGAGTGTCTGACTGACTGACTGACTGACTGACTGAGTGACTGACTGAGTGACTGAGTGTCTGACTGACTGACTGAGTGTCTGACTGACTGACTGACTGAGTGTCTGACTGACTGACTGACTGACTCCAATACCAAACCATCTGTCTGTCATGGCCTTCACTCATACATTCAGATTAGAAACACTGTGTGTGTCAATTCCCTTGACAACTGCACTTCCTCTACTCCCACGCCTAACCTGCACCTAACAAGAAACAAGCAAACAGGGCAACCTTAAACACTCTTCCCTTTGTGAAACTCTCTGTGGCAATCATTAAAGTGTTTTCAGACATGCACCTTCCAAGCTTAGAAGATAAAAGATCCACACTTGCTGCTGAGCCTATATAACGTAGACAAAGCTGGAATTCAGTTTGCTTTTGTTAAGAGCTGCTGAGATTCATGTTGACAGCTTAAGAACTAAAAGAGTCATTCACATTTTTTTATCAAGTTATGTCACCCAATTCTTGAAAGGAAGTTTGAAAATGTTGAAGGTGGTCTCTGCCGTCCAAATAAACATGGAATAAATTTATAATTGAATTGGGGGAAAGACCTAAATATAGTTACTTAATTCACAATAGATATTAGGATCAAGGAGTGCATTTCCTTATCAACATGACCTTCCAAGCTGATTGCATTGTTTTAGATGAAAACCAATAAACTAGAAAAGTGTATGCAAGTACTTTCAGTTAAGTTGAGTGAGTGGGTGAGGGGGTGAGTGAGTGGTTGAGTGAGTGAATGGTTGAGTGAGTGAGTGAGTGTGTGAGGGAGTGGTTGGGTGGGTGGTTGAGTGAGTGAATGGTTGAGTGAGTGAATGGTTGAGTGAGTGAATGGTTGAGTGAGTGAGTGAATTGTTGAGTGAGTGAGAGAATGGTTGAGTGAGTGAATGGTTTGAGTGAGTGAGTAAGTGAGTGAGTGAGTGAGGTAAGTCAAGTCCAGTCAAGTCCAGTCAAGTCAAGTCAAGTCAAGTCAAGTCAAGTCGAGTCAAGTCAAGTCAAGTCAAGTCAAGTCAAGTCAAGTCAAGTCAAGTCAAGTCAAGTCAAGTCAAGTCAAGTCAAGTCAAGTCAAAGAGGCCAAGCATAATGTGTTGGGATAAGGTGCAATATAATGCTGTTTCACATTCTTGATTTCTTTACTCATTCATGGCTTCTTGTGAGTGACACAATGACACAACCCAATCCGCCCAATCACATCACCTGTCCATGTTTACACACAGACACCATTCATGTGAATCACAGCAAACACAGCACCCACTCTTCTCCAAGAACTGTTCCACCTCATGGGTCTGTTACTTACAACCAACAGCTACTTTGCTTACCCTTTTCTGTGTGCTCCAGCTTGGTGATGAGTTTGTCCAGTGTTCCTGCCAGCTGTTTGAAGGCCAGTTTCTTGTCAATCTCTTCTCCATACATCTCCTCAGCCTGGGTAACAAAAACAACACAGTGAATCAGTCAACTGGAGCTGGAGGCAACTCAATGACTGATCTTTGGCCAAACATCAATTCAGGATCAATCATGAATGAGAACAGATGGCTAGTATATTCACAAGATAACTGTTAGGCTTTAGAGGGAGGGGAAATTGGGTTTAACGTCGTGCTTGAGAATATTTCGCTCATATGACGACATGCATGCGTGTGTATATGCGGCTGCTTGTACTAGCCCCGACTTAAGCTGGTTTTATAGTGCTAGCCCACTGAGATACCATGCCGCAGTGAAGCATGAATACCCCACTGGACACATTATACTGACTCCGAGCCGACCAGTCCTCGTTGAACCCATTAATGCCCAGCGCCAGGCAGGGACCAACAAGTACCATATTTTAACGTCTTTTGGTGTGACGCGGTCGGGGATCGAACCCGCGACCTTCCACAACACCACAGAGGAGGTCTTCTATGTACGGATCATAAGCCCAGCTCTCATCTATGTACGGATCACAAGCCCAACTCTCATCTATGTACGGATCATAAGCCCAACTCTCAAACTTTCAAACATAGGCTGGCTACTCCCCGTTGCCACAACGTCACAGAAGAAACGTGACGTCATAGCATTGTTCATGACGTCACGTCACTATGACAAAGTGATATTTTCCCTAGGGCATCGTATGAACAATATGAACCCCGATATTTTCGCCCTCGTAGGTAATTAATGGTATTGTGTAGTGTTGTAAGTAGTGTGAAGTCACGTCATACTGAGAATTCAGAAGTCTCCACACTGATTGCCGATATGGAAAGTTCATCTGACACAACCTGATATGAAGGTGTCTTCAGCTCTTATCAGAGTAAAGGTCTCATTTTCAAGAGACTGCTCTTAACTCGAAGTTCAGGGCCCCGTTTCACAAAGCTCTCGTAAGCCTAAGATCTCGTAACTTTTCTCGTAGCATTAGTACCTCCCATGTTACAGTATAGGAGGCACAAATGCTACGAGAAAAGTTGCGAGATCTTAGGCTTACGAGAGCTTTGTGAAACAGGGCCCTGATAACTAGACATATATTTCTGCTGGTCATCATGATTTCAGTGAAGTTTCACTGTAAGCTGAAGTTAACCAAATGTTCTTTATATCATCTCACCTCATCAATTATTTCATCAAACTGCAGCTTCATGGAGTCGCGCACTTTGTTTTTCATGTTGGCAAACTTGTTCCTCTTGTTTCTGTAGGCTGTCTTCAAATTACCCAGTTCTGGAAAAAAGAACATCGTCGACTTGTAGGTAATAGTTGCCATGATAAGTGGGTGAACAAGATTATAAGAACTGAATTGTACACCATTGGACTGAGAGTACCCAATTGTTCATACAATTTAAGCTAATACAATCTTGAACACACTGCTTTAGACACATGTAGTTTGTTTGGTTGTTTGCTTATTAAATGCCACAATCATCAATATTCCAGCAATACGATGTCGGTCTGTTAATCAAATCATGTACCCAGAAGGTTATAGTCACATGACTTTATCCAACCGGGGTACCCATTTTCTACTGGATGAACAGAGGCAATTTTAAACAAACTCTCTTGCCTTAGGTGAGACCACATGTATCACATGTGCTTTGTTGTGGGGCCCGACTGAAGTCCTAGGAACTCTCAGGAGTCAAGCTGTCAAACATGATCACCCATCCAAGGTGAGGTGAGGTGAAATTGGGTTTAACGGGAAAATTGTTGAAATTTCAAAAGTTGTCAAACTCCCGTTTTCAGACGTCAAACACATGTTGTCAAACTTTCCTGTCATTTGAGCGATGCCATTTTGTAGGTTGAGTTGACGTAACATCACGTGACAATTTCATTTTCTGTGATTGGTTGTTTCTGAACAACACGACTTTGACAACACTTCACACACGAAAAACTCGAGGTTTCGACAAAACATGCTTTTGTTATTTTTTTTACGGTCCCTTACAAGCATTCTACCCCCGATCTTCATGGGTCACGTTTCTTTAAGAACTGAATATACTAAGTAAGTACTACTTTCACTGTTTGCAGACAAACATGACACTGTCTTTGCCAATCGACAGTCGAGTCTGTATAAACCATTGCAAATCTGTTGAAATAACTGGGGTAGCGATTATCATTATGGAATTGTCTACCATAGTGAAAATAACTGTCTAAGGCTCAAGACCAGTTCTAACCTGGGTTTCCCTCTACGTAGTGATTCCATAGTGGAAAGAAACATGTTTCAGTTAGAAATATAATGATTACTGACACTGTCCGACTGACAATACACTGACCTTCTGACAATATCTATATCAATACACACATTCCTTGAAACTTGCAATGTTTTGTATAATAAAGAGGTTATCATGCTTGTGATTTGTGAGATGGTGTACATCCTACCTTAGGAACATACACTGTGTATTTGGCTCACCAAGGCTCGCTAGATACACTGTTTGTTCCTGAATAGAGGGGGGCAGTGGGGTAGCCTAATGGTTAAAGTGTTGGCTCGTCATGCCGAAGGCCCCGGGTTCGAATCCCCACATGGGCACAATGTGTGAAGCCCATTTCTGGTGTCCCCTGCCATGATGTTGCTGGAATATTGCTAAAAGAGGCGTAAAACCAAACTCAGTCAGTCAGTCAGTCAGTCAGTCCTGATAGAGTATGATAATAATAAAAATAGTAATAGTCTGCTTATATGGCGCTCATATCCAGGCACATTGCCTGCTCGCGGCGCTATGTACATTACTATCCCCTGTCATAGGACACTATCATACTTTTCAGATACTTTTTCAACTCCCTGGGGAGTATACAGCCATGCTGCCTGTTAGGCGCAATGAACTAAGCACTCACACTACCAGCACATCCTCATAAGTACCCATTTTACAGCTGGGTGAACTGAGACAATGTGGATCTAAGTATCTTGTCCAAGGATACTACACAAATGTGCCCACCTCAGAACCCGAACCTAGGTGCCTTCACCGGGGATCGAACCTGGGCCTTCAGCGTGATAGGCAGACGCCTTACCACTGCACTATTGCGCTCCACAAATTTAACATCCGAAAGACACTCGCACAACAACTTCTATACACCTCAGCATGTTAGGTTAATGTTGGAGGAGAAACCAAAGTGATGCAGGTCTGAAATATTTACTGGTGAAACAAACAACACATGTAGAAACATGATCAGGAATAACCAGGATTCAAATTCTATGCATCCCTGAGCAAACTGTACCCCCATTGACAAACATTGCTGACACTGTTTTCAGTCCAGCTTCTCTCTAACAATGGTTTACTTTTAGCAATATTCCAGCAATATCATGGCGATGGACGCCTGATATTACACCCATGTGAGGAATCAAACCCCTGTCTTCAGCGTGATGAGCAGAAGCCGTAACCTTAAGGCTACCCCGTCGCCCCGAATCTACTAGCAAACAGGAAGATCGGATATGTCACTCAAAAATACTTCACAGAAAAAATGTCAGTAAACACATAATGATAACTATTTTAACATGAGTCAGGGAAGGTGCAGGTTTTACACGCTGAATGTTTCTTCATGTTCACTTTTCAACCTTGAGTCTGTTAAGCCTTAGCACTGGTTACACATGTAACAATACTCTGCCGTGTTACTTCAAGGTCATCTCTGACCAGAACTTGTGACCCACAATGCAACCTGGTGTACAATGGGGAAGAGAAGAGGCTTGTCACACAAGCCTCCAACACTACAGCAAGATCAGGGCAGCTTATTGGGGCAAGGCTAAGTTAGGGTGAATGGTGCTTTGACCACTTTGTCAGTTTTTCACTGCTTCTCTCTAACAGGGAAGAAAAGCAGAAAAAGACAAAAATAACCTACCATGGAAACTGCCTCCTTCAGCAAGAATCTATTTTGCTGTGTCTGTATCTCAAGTAAAAAGGTACCCAGTGAAGGTCTGGGTTAGAATTGGTGTTCAGTAACCCATGCTTGTCGTAAGAGGCAACAAACAGGATCGGGTGGTTAGGCTCGCTGGTTTTTCACGTCATCATATCCCAATTGCGCAGATCGATGCTCATGCTGTTGATCACTGGATTGTCTGGTCCAGACTTGATTATTTACAGACCACGCCTTATAGCTAGAATATTGCTGAGTGCGGTGTAAAACAACAAACCAAAACCAAAGTTAAAGGGAGGTAACTGCAATATGCTACCATTGTCTAGAAAAGTGGCCATTGCACTTATTCTGTTGATAGATCTTCACACATATGGCCATACCTTTATCAAATTCTTCCATAAGTTCTTCATCTGCATCCATATTGACATCTTCTCCCACAACATCAGTAGGTGGACCCTCCTCAACCTGATGACTGAAACGAAATATACAAAACTTGAAAGCATAGATACATAACTATGACACAAGGTGAAGATGGGTAACATGATTGTATACTTATATTTATCTCATGCATGTGCATATCTGTCCAGTAGTTTTACAAGACATTGATGGCATTTCCTTCAACAGATCCACAGTATGATGAAAGTAGAGCATTTGTCATGGTAATGACTAGAATGATTTTATTGCTGCTTCAGTTTCTCCCTGATCCTCAATGATTCCCCATTAGATGAGAGTTGGGCTTGTGATCCCTGCCTAAGTGAGAGTAGGATCTATGATCCCAACCTCAAAGATCCCTGCCTAGATGAGAGCTGGGCTTATGATCCATACATAGATGAGAGTTGGGCTTATGATCCATGCATAGATGAGAGTTGGGCTTATGATCCCTGCCAAGGTGAGAGTAGTATAGGGGTAATGATTCCCACCATGAAGACAGTTAATGTTTGTGATCCCTTCCTAGATGGGAGTGGGATTATGATCCGTGCATAGATGAGATTTGGACTTATGATCTGAGCATAGATGAGAGTTGGGCTTATGATCCCTGCCTAGATGAGAGCTGGGCTTATGATCCATGCATGGATGAGAGTTGGGCTTATGATCTGTGCATAGATGAGAGTTGGGCTTGTGATCCCTGCCAAGGTGAGAGTAGTATAGGGGTAATGATTCTCACCATGAAGATAGTTAATGTTTGTGATCCCTTCCTATATGGGAGTGGGATTATGATCCGTGCATAGATGAGAGTTAGACTTATGATCTGAGCATGGATGAGAGCTGGGCTTATGATCCGTGCTCAGATCAGAGATGGGTTTATGATCTCTTCATAGATGAGAGTGGGCTTGTGATCCCCAGTTAGGTGATAGTAGGTTTTATGATCCCCACTTGGGTGAGAGGGTTGGGTTTATGATTCGCAATTAAATCAGAGTTGGGTTTATGATCCCCACTTGGATCATTGGATTTATGATCCCCACTTTGGATGAGAAATTTTGAACGCAATGAAGATTAAGGAAACTCTAAATAATGTAACCCCATGCAGAATCAAACAAGCATTGTCACTAAGGTGACATAAAATGAAAGTTTAAGATGAAGTTAAATGTCAACAAAAACATGACCAGTCAACCTCTCTTGATATCTTGCTCTTTAGTTGTTCAAACACACAAATATTTTCAAGACTGACTTTGACCTTGACATGAATGTCATAGGGTATGAAATATGCAAAAATGGTACTAAAGAAATTGCTTATTAAAAAAATATTCAAGGGAAGTCTTGAAAGTCTATGAAGAAAATCCAGTGAATTCAGGTTAACATGCTGAAATCTTCAAAGTGTTGCATTAGTGTGTTCATTAGATGAAGCTTGGTGTCAAATATGGAAAAAATCCAGTGAATGTTTTTTGCAATATCTTGCTGACTATCTTAACATGCAATTTAACATGGTGAAATCTTCAAAGTGTCTTTGTGACCTTGAAAATTAAGTGAAGGTAACCAAAATCGACTGGGCCTTGCACTTTCCCTACATGAAGCTTGGTGTCAAATATGAAGAAAGTCCAGTGAATGGTTCTTGAGATATCTCACCGAACATCTTAACATGCAGGTTAACACACTGAAATCTTCAAAGTATCACTGTGACCTTGAAAATTCAGTGATGGTCACCCAAATCGACTGGGCCCTGCGCCTTCTGTGGATGCAGCTTGGTGTCAAATATGAAGAAAATCCAGTGAATGGTTCTTGAGGTATCTCACTGACAAGCATAACATGCAGGTTAATATGCTGAAATCTTCAAAGTGTCGCCATGACGTTGAAAATTAAGTGAAGGTCACCAAAATCAACTGGGCCCTGCGCCTTCCCTAGCTTGGGTGTTGAATATGAAGAAAAGCTTGGTGTTGAACATGAAGAAAATCTAGTGAATGGTTCTTGAGATATCTCGCTGACAAGGGTAAAACATTAAAGTACCCTTGTGACCTTGAAATGAAGGTCAAGGTCACCAAACCTGACTGGGACCTTTCTTATACTGTGATGAACCTAGGTACCAAATATGAAAAGAATCTCGTCAACGGTTCTTAACATATTCCAATACATACATACGTACGTACAGACGGACGGAGCCTAAAACTATATCCCCCGCTTCGCGCTAAACACGCGGCGGGGGATAATAAAGCTACCATCCCTCCCTGTGAACAATGATACCCTGTGTGGTAGATAGTGTGTGTCAAGTCCTGCCACATTGCTCCTCATCAAGAAGAAGCAACATTTAACCCATCAGGGAAAGCAGAGTGAGTAAGTGAGTTTAGTTTTACCCCGCTTTTAGCAATATTCGAGTAATATCACGACAGGAGACACCAGAAATGGGCTTCACACATTGTACCCATGTGGGGATTCAAACCCGGGTCTTCGGCGTGACGAGCCAACGCTTTAACCACTTGGCTACGTCAAGGCCCCTCATCAAGAGGAAGCAACATTTAACACACCAGTGAAATCAGACAGAAAAGGACTGTTTCCAAACTCCCCAAATCTCAGCGTCAGTGGTCTCTTGCATGGGCTCTGACTGTCCAAATATGCTGCAATCACATTTGATCCCACTAACCTATCAAATAATAATACTTAGTATAGAGTCTATCCCGGTCATGACAACTTTAAGCTTAATTTTGACCCTGGAGAGCCTATGTTTGAACAATACACTTGCAGCACTTACGCTTCAAGTTTCAAATCTTCCTGAACGCCGTCATCTGGCTCCAACACAACATCTGAATCTGGTTCTCCGTGGGCTGTTGCCCTGGACGACCCAGAGTCCTCTGTTTCTGCTTCGTCTCCTTCTGCTCTGAAATTGTCCTTGATAAAGCTGTCGATATCTTTTGGATCTCTTACAACTTTGAAGGACAGCTTGACATCAATAGGTTTCTCTGGAACAGTTAGGTTGCGAGTTGAGTTTAACTCCACTTTAAACAATATTTCAGTTTTATAATGGTGCGCCTGTTTAATGTGGGAGGAAAGACCAGAGTGAAGCAAGTCTTAGACGTGTGAAACTTCAGCAAAATACTCAATCATGGGTGTGATGCTCAGAGATCAAGAGTGAATGAGTTTAGTTTTACGCTGCACTGAGCAATACTCGAGCAATGGGAGATATCTAGAAACTTTGTTTCTGTGACTTGATCTCTGTTCTGTAATAACTCATTACATGAGTCAGTTTAGTTTTACGCCGCACTCAGCAATATTCCAGCTATATGGCGGCGTTCTGTAAATAATCGAGTCTGGACCAGACAATCCAGTGATCAACAGCATGAGCATCGATCTACGCAATTGGGATACAATTACATATGTCAACCAAGTCAGCGAGTCTGACCACCCAATCCCGTTAGTCGCCTCTTTAGACAAGCATGGGTTGCTGTAGACCAATTCTAACTCGGATCTTCACGGGTCCAAAGGAAAGACAAACTGGTAACACTGCATGGTCAATACAACCAAATCCGTCAGGATGCAGTCTTCCTTCCTTCCTATCACTATCATAATGCTTGCCAGATAGGTCTTTCTTCAAGGTGAGGTGAAGTGAAATTGGGTTTAACGTCGTGCTTGAGAATATTTCGCTCATATGACGACGTGCATGAGTGTGTATGTGTATGTGCGGCTGCTTGTACTAGCCCAGACTTAAGCTGGTTTTATAGTGCCAGCCCACTGAGATACCATGCCGCAGTGAAGCATGAATACCCCACTCAGACACATTATACTGACTCCAAGCCGACCAGCACTTGTTGTACCCATTAATGCCGAGAGCAAGGCAGGGACCAACAAGTACCATGTTTTAACGTCTTTTGGTATGACGCGGTCGGGGATCGAACCCGCGACCTTCCGCTCTCCAGGCGGACACTCTAACCACTACACCACGGAGGTGGTCTCTTTCTTCAAGTGTGTGTAGAGGTGGAAATCTGATGGTGCCCAATCTGGTGGATACAAATGATACATTGCAGCCATGGCAACAACAGTGGTATTATCCTGCTGCTGCAGCAGACCATCTACAATAACAGCATTTGGCAGCATCCTGGCCAATTTTGCCGCTTTTCATCAACAGAGAAAACTGTGTCACTTTGATGCCTGCTGAAATATGCTATTTGGATATGTATTTGGTTCAAACGGAAATGGAAATACTGAACCAAAATCTAAACCGTTTTGGTGTACTGTTCAGTATGTACATATGCTCACATCATCTAAGTCACCCCTCCAGAAAACACAATATATACCACCACAAAGTTTCTTCACCTGTTGACTGGCCTGCTAAACTTTTCATTTCATTGCTGAGTGTTTTCTTCATGAGGGACTCCACCGAGGGTCCAAATATACTGTCCATATCTGTGGGTTCTTCGTCGATTGACTCGGCTTGGTCTGAAAAATAGTTGAACATATACTCAGTGGTTTGACTCAACTCTTTAACTCAAGGTAAGGGGAAGTCGGGTAGCCCAGTGGTTAAAGCATTTGCTCGTCATGCCTAAGACCCGGGTTCGATTCCCCACATGGGTACACTGTGTGAAGCCCCTTTCTGGTGTCCCCCCGCTGGACATGATAAACCAATCCCTTTGGTCCACTCTTAGGACTTTCAACAGCAGTGGTTCACATTAAGCATTAAATGATCACTCCCTATTCAAGTTTAACTAAGTATTTTGTAACTAAGTAACCAGAAAAACAAACTTGTAACTAGGGCTGTAACAATCGAACTATCGATGGATTGCAATTGTTGAGTCTCCAATAGCAATTCATCGATGGCAGAAACAAAAAACTATCGATGCATCGATAGTATGTGTGACTATCGATAGTTTAGTAATTGACTTCCATTGAAAAATGAGCAGTGCAAAATACAGGAAGTACCAGATTCATTCACTTTGATTTAGAGTTATCTGCCCCTGTTACCTCTTAAACAACTTGATTATGTTTTAACTGTTTACTTGATCTGGGTTTCAAGTTTCTTGTCAGTTATATAAAGAGACTGAAACTACTTCAACTTGATTTTATTTCATATAAACTATACATTCATTTGGGAAATGACTTCAAATGAGACAATTCAAGGAGAAAAAACCCTATTGCAATAGTATTACAATAGTATGTTGCAATAGGCTATTGCTATCACAACAGTATGTTGCAATAGAATATCGCTATCTCAATAGCATGTTGCAATAGACTATTGCTATCACAACAGTATGTTGCAATAGACTATCGCTATCTCAATAGCATGTTGCAATAGATTATTGCTATCACAACAGTATGTTGCAATAGACTATCGCTATCTCAATAGCATGTTGCAATAGACTATTGCTATCACAACAGTATGTTGCAATAGACAATCGCTATCTCAATAGTATGTTGCAATAGGCTATTGCTATCACAACAGTATGTTGCAATAGACTATCGCTATCTCAATAGCATGTTGCAATAGACTATTGCTATCACAACAGTATGTTGCAATAGACTATCTCTATCACAATAGTATGTTGCAATAGACTATTGCTATCACAACAGTATGTTGCAATAGACTATCGCTATCTCAATAGCATGTTGCAATAGACTATTACTATCACAATAGTATGTTGCAATAGACTATTGCTATCACAACAGTATGTTGCAATAGACTATCGCTATCTCAATAGTATGTTGCAATAGACTATTGCTATCACAATAGTATGTTGCAATAGACTATCGCTATCACAATAGTATGTTGCAATAGACTATTGCTATCACAACAGTATGTTGCAATAGACTATCGCTATCACAATAGCATGTTGCAATAGACTATTGCTATCACAACAGTATGTTGCAATAGACTATCGCTATCTCAATAGCATGTTGCAATAGACTATTGCTATCACAACAGTATGTTGCAATAGACTATCGCTATCTCAATAGTATGTTGCAATAGACTATTGCTATCACAACAGTATGTTGCAATAGACTATCGCTATCTCAATAGTATGTTGCAATAGACTATTGCTATCACAACAGTATGTTGCAATAGACTATCGCTATCGCAATAGTTGTTTCTCCGTCAGTAGTCACCCCTCCTTGTAACACCCCCTATCAAGTACTGCAGTGATGCAGACTGTGTCCTACCTGACTGAGGTGCTTCTATGCCTGTTTCTATAGAGGAGTCACTTGTGTCAGTTACTGTTGATTCTGGTTCTGTTTTAGCATCTACATCGTCAGCTACAGTTGTGGTTGTTGCAGCCTCTGCTGCTGCTGCTGCTTCTGCTGCTGCTGCCTCTGCTGCTGCTGCTTCTGCTGCTGCTGCTGCCTCTGCTGCTGCTGCTTCTGCTGCTGCTGCTTCTGCTGCCGCTACAGCTGCAGCTTCCCTTGCTTTCTCCGCCAACTGCTTCCTCTCCTTTTCAGCTGTCAACAGTGAGTGAGTGCTGGTCAAGTGACATTGTATAAAATACAATACACCACTATCAGCAATATTCAGTTATCTCATGGCAATATGTATCTAATGGAATCTGGGGTGGATAAACTGTCACTATCTAGGTATATTCACCCTTGTCGAACACTTCAAGTGTAAGGATTGTAATGACTGGACATATGATACAGTTCAAACTTGTTGTCCAGACCAGACCAATAATTACTAGTCATCACTTCAGATGGGATGTAACAACCATGACTGAACTTGTCAATTGGTGAGGTGAAAACGGGCTTAAAGTTGGTTAACATGGTGGACAAGGCAAACGTGGTGAACATGGTGGACAGGCGAATATGATGAACATGTTGTATATGTTGAACACTGTGAACATAGTGCGCACAGTGAACATGGTGAACATGATGAACACATTGAACATGCTGAACAGGGTGAATATGATGAACACAGTGAACATGCTGAACAGGGTGAATATGATGAACACAGTGAACATGTCAAACAGGGTGAACACAATGAACATGTTGATCATATTGAACATGTCGAACAGGGTGAATATGATGAACACATTGAACATGCTGAACAGGGTGAACACAATGAACATGTTGATCATATTGAACATGTCGAACAGGGTGAATATGATGAACACAGTGAACATGCTGAACAGGGTGAACACAATGAACATGTTGATCATATTGAACATGTCAAACAGGGTGAATATGATGAACACATAGAACATGCTGAACAGGGTGAATATGATGAACACAGTGAACATGTCGAACAGGGTGAATATGATGAACACAGTGAACATGTTGGACAGGGTGAATATGATGAGCGCAATGAACATGTTGGACAGGGTGAATATGATGAACACAATGAACATGATGAACACATCGAACAGGGTGAATATGATGAACACAGTGAACACGTCGAACAGGGTGAATATGATGAACACAGTGAACATGTTGGACAGGGTGAATATGATGAACACAGTGAACAAGTTGAACAGGGTGAATATGATGAACACAGTGAACATGTTGGACAGGGTGAATATGATGAACACAGTGAACATGTTGAACAGGGTGAATATGATGAACACAATGAACATGGTGAACATGATGAACAGGGTGAACACAATGAACATGTTGATCATATTGAACATGTCGAACAGGGTGAATATGATGAACACATTGAACATGCTGAACAGGGTGAATATGATGAACACAGTGAACATGTCGAACAGGGTGAATATGATGAACACAGTGAACATGTTGGACAGGGTGAATATGATGAGCACAATGAACATGTTGGACAGGGTGAATATGATGAACACAATGAACATGATGAACACATCGAACAGGGTGAATATGATGAACACAGTGAACATGTCGAACAGTGTGAATATGATGAACACAGTGAACATGTTGAACAGGGTGAATATGATGAACACAGTGAACATGTTGGACAGGGTGAATATGATGAACACAGTGAACATGTTGAACTGGGTGAATATGATGAACACAATGAACATGTTGGACAGGGTGAATATGATGAACACAATGAACATGTTGGACAGGGTGAATATGATGAACACAATGAACATGTTGGACAGGATGAATATGATGAACACAATGAACATGTTGGACAGGGTGAATATGATGAACACAATGAACATGTTGGACAGGGTGAACATGTCGAACAGGGTGAACACTGTGAACATGATGAAAACAGGAAACATGATGAACAGGGTGAATACAAGGAACAGTGAACATGAACACAGAACATGTCAAACATGGTGAACATGATGAACAAGTTGAATATGAACACAGTGAACACTGTGAACATGATGAACTGGGTAAATATGATGAACACAGTGAACATGTCAAACAGGGTGAATACAATGAACATGTCAAACAAGGTGAACATGATGAACACAGTGAACATGTCAAACATGATGAACAGATTGTATATGATGAACACAGTGAACATGTTGAACAGGGTGAACACAATGAACATGTTGAACATAATGAACACAGTGAACATGAAGAACAGTGAACATGTCAAGCATGGTGAACATGATGAACACAGTGAAAATGTCAAGCATGGTGAACATGATGAACACAGTGAACATGTCAAACATGATGAACAGGTTGAATATGATGAACACAGGGAACATGTTGATGAGGGTGAACATAATGAACATGTTGAACATAATGAACACAGTGAACATGTCAAGCATGGTGAACATGATGAACACAGTGAACATGTCAAGCATGGTGAACATGATGAACACAGTGAACATGTCAAACATGATGAACAGGTTGAATATGATGAACACAGGGAACATGTTGATGAGGGTGAACATAATGAACATGTTGAACATAATGAACACAGTGAACATGTCAAGCATGGTGAACATGATGAACACAGTGAACATGTTGAACATAATGAACACAGTGAACATGTCAAGCATGGTGAACATGATGAACACGTTGAACATGTTGATCATGATGAACACAGTGACCAAGATGCGAACAGTGAACATGAAGAACACATCAACATGTTTCAGGTAAATCGTACCTATCTAATCACTGTTGTATTATTGCTATGTTACTATGGTTACCTTCTGTGTCTGCGAGATATTCCAGGTACTGTTCCTCCGACACCACAGGGTTACAGGTGATAGGGACTGGCTTCTTCGGGGTAGGGGGCTTCATGTAGGGGTGGTTGCACAAATGTGACGTGTATATGGTGACAATGTACACACAGGTCTCTGGCTCATCTATACGGGCAATGTGGTCGCTTGTTCCTTCCTCACAGAAGAACTGAAGTAAAAATATGAATGTGCTTCAATTTTGCAACTTCAGCAAAAGTCTGAAATCACAATTTAGCAGGATTTCTTCCTTGTAAGCAAAATATTTATCCTGCCATCAAAACTAGATGCCCTTGAAGGCAAACAGGGGAAGGTTCATATTTTTCAATATTGATATTTTGTTGAAGTGCATATTTTTTTTCAAATTAAACCAAAAGATATGTAACTGTTAAAAGGGATCAGAATCTGTTTTAATTAATACACTCAGTAATATTTTTACAAACCAGGAGAGGTTATGAATTCTTTGAAGAAAAGTCCTCCTTGGGGTACATATAAGCATTAAAATGTCCATTTTAAAAGCCTACGACAGTTGTAACAATATTTCAATAAAATATTTTACCAAACAAAAAACTCGTTATGTGTGGTGAGACCACCCTTACAGGGCCCCCTAGAGGGCCCCCTACAGCCAAGAGCAGGTAACTCTGGCTGTGTCACTCGTGACCTCACTTTTCATGCTGAACGTGTCAGACAGAATGAGGAGGGATGTCGCGATACCCAAGGAGGACTGTTCTTCAAAGAATTCATAACCTCTCCAGGTTTGTAAAATTTTCAGAAGAAGTCCTCCTTGGTACATATAAGCATAAGACAGACTCCCAACGACATGTTGAGTCGAGCTGCATTATTCTGTCTGCCTAACATACCCCTAGTTCAGTCAAGGCAATGTCGGGCCGCGACAGAGAGAGAAAGTACATCACCTAGTCACCTGACCGCTGATGTCAATCTGGCATGGGGCGTGGCATGCGGGGAAAAGGAGCCTCAGCCGATAGGCTATTGGTGGAATTTAGAAAGACTGACGCAAGTCCCACCCCCAACCATCAAAATGGGAGGGAAAGTATGGGCGAAGTCCAATATATATCCCTCAGCAACCCAAACCAGCCGCTGGTGCAGGGATGAACACAATGACTGTAGCTTGAAAGTGATAATCGCTACATACGGTAAAACCACCAACCAAAGTGATACCACCAATCGATAAAAATTGAGGAATTTATTAACACCTACACCATGAGAAAGCAAACGCGATTTCTAAGGCTCATTCGTTAGAGAATCAATATGACACTGTCCACTGGTGAGAACTGTTCTGGCCAAACCGAGCACGCCCCGTGAATGTTTGTCCAGCTGATAGTGGCGGATGAACGCATTCGGTCGGCTCCAGATAGCCACTGAGCAGATCTCCTCAATGGGCAGTGCCGCGGCGCATGCTTTGATGTCGCCACTGCCCTAACCGAATGAGCCTTTAAACCCTGAGGGATGGTTAATCTTTGTAAGAGTAACTCAACAAATGGCAGAGACAAGCCACCCAGAAATGGTCTGCTTGTTCGCCGGAAGACCAGCCTTGCCACCGCCATAACAACAGAACAGCTGCTTATCTTCCTGATAGCAGCCGCTCGCTTGATATAAGCCTTGAGAGTCTTACGGACATCTAAGACGTGAGCACGTAAGAGAGGCACCGGACGATGGAGGCTGAGTGAAAGCTGGCAGTTCAATAGGGCTTGGGTTATATGAAAGCAGCCGCGACCTTAGGACGGCAGGGAGTCTGGCAACCGAATACTGACTCTGTCTTTGTGAAAGACAGTCAGAGCAGGATCCGCTGACATCGCATGGATATCACCTACCGCCTGCCAGACGCTACGCCACAAGAAAGGCAGCCTTCCAACTTAACAGCTGGAGTGAAAGAGACGACAGATCGTGAAAGAGAGGACCGACATCCAATCAAGAACCATTGACAAGTCCCACGGGGACTAATCCGCCCGGACAGTCGGACGGATTCTGTCCACGCCTAAAAAGCGCCTGTACTAGAGGGTGCTGCCCCAAGAGAGCACCGTCGGCAGGATATGGAAGGCAGAGATTGCCGTGGAGTAGCCCCGGATAGTAGACGCCGCTAAACCGGGCTTCTAACCGAGACTGCAAGAACTCCAGTACTTCAATTACAGTTGAAGAAAAGGGATCAAGAATCCTCTGCCGCACACACCAGCGCCGCATAACAGGCCCATCTATCCTCATACTGAACGCTTATCGAATCCCTCCGCTGGCCAGAATTGTGTCTGCAACTGGTGCAGGAATTCCGCTATGGAGGCTATTCCGACAGAGGCCAGGCCACCCACTGAATCCTGGGATTCGGTGCGGCTCCGCTCTGGGATAGTAAGTCCGGGTCGAAAGGGTAATAGTACAGGAGGCTGAGCCAGAAACCTGAGTAGTACCGAAACCAGCTTTGAGCCGACTCAAAGGTGCAAGGAGCACAAGAAGTCGAGCTGGTTGGGTGGCAAGCTGCAAGAGGACTTTGGGAATCAGGGTAGTGGCGGAACGCCCACAGAACCCTGTCCGTCCAATTGAGCTGGAAAGCGCCTTGGGCGATGGCTTTCCTCGGATCCGGTATCCGAGAGCAAAACACCGGAATCTGGTTCGCCCCCCAGATGCAAACAGATCCACCTGGAACGACCCGAACAACTGGGAGATAGCCCTCAATATCCCCGATGGAGCATCCACTCGTGGTGGGGCCAGGATACACGACAAGAGTGCATCTGCTCAACGTTGTCCGCCCCAGGGAGATAAACCGGCATTACCCGGTGATGTCGAACTGGTCGCACCAGAGCAGAAACTGCCATGCCTCCTGCAGAAGAGACGGGAAACCGTGACCGCCTCTGCTTCAGGATGTAGGTCATTGCCGTCTGGTTGTCCATCTCGAGACGGACCACACGGCCTTGAACCTGCTCCCGAAGTCGGTTGAACACCAACCTGACTGCTCTCAATTCTAGCACATTGATGTGCAGTTGCGCCGCTTCTGTGACCACAGGCCTGAGACCGACAGGGCGCCCAGCACGCCTTCACCCCTGAGGGAAGCGTCCGCCTGAATTGAGAGATCTGGCGATGGGATGTCCAAAGGGAGCCCCCTGGATAAATTCCCTGCCAGTGTCCACCACCGTAAATGAGGAATTAGCCAACCTGGAGTGTGGAGAATCAACTCGTAACCCTGGGTGTGGACCCACATTCGAGCTAGAGCCTGCTGAATGGGTCGCATCCTCAACCGGGCGCTAAACGATGTCCACCGCTGTCGCCATGTTGCCTAGCAACTGGAGCCAAGTCCGAGCTGAGGCCCTGGGGAACTCGAGAAATTGTAACACAACTCTCTGGACTTTGGTGATGCGGTCCCGAGACAGGGAGACTATGCCTCGCTGTCTCGGAATCTCGCCCTCCCAAGAACACCAGATCCTGGGTGGGAACCAGTTCTGATTTCTTGAGGTTGATAATCCAGCCCAACTTGGTGAGAATACTCATCACAGAAAGTGTCGCAACTCGACTCAAGTTAGTGGCAAGCTTACATCTAAGGAGCCAATCGTCTAGAGGCACGGGTGACAGCACCTGCCCTGTGACCTGGCTACCTGAGCTGGAATTAGCATGAGTTTGGTGAACACCCTTGGCTGTGGAGATGCCAAGGGGAGTACTGAAACTGATAGCACCTCCCGTCGAAGGAAAACCTTAGGTATTTCCTGAACTCAAGTATAGGGACATGGAAGTACGCTGTCTTTTAGGGTCGCATTGACGTGAGCCAATCTCCCTTCTCCACAGGCGAAATCATCGAACGCAGTGTTTCCATCTTGAAGGACGGTACCTCTAACATGTCGTTCAGACCTTTGAGGTTTAGAATGGGTCTGAACCCTCCGCTCCTTTTGGTGACAAGGAAATAAGTTGAGTAAAACCCAACATTTCTTGTCCCACAGGAACCACCTCTATGGCTGCCTTGTCCAGCAACTGACTGACCGGCACGGAGCACTGCCGCCTCTCTAGGGCAGCCGCACTGGAGTGCAACAGATCCCGGAGAAGGGGGTGGGTCTCGCGCTCCACTGTGGCATGTGGCCTTCCCTGAGTGTGGACAGGACCCAGGGATTGACGTGACTTTTCCCATTCCGACAGGAAGAGGGAAAGTCGACCACCCACAGGGATATGTGGCATGAGACATTGAATACCTGACTTCGGCAGTACTCCCACTGCTTGGTCTGGTACCAACAAGGGCCCGGAGGAATTATAGCTGGGAAGCCGGGCTGACTTCCCCTTCCTCTGAAAAGGCTGGTGGGGAAGCCATGGCCTTGCCCTTGCCCTTGCTCTCTGCCCTTACCCTCCGCTACACTGCAAGGGCTGAGCCCATTTAACAGATTCCTTAGCCGCAGAAGGATATGGAGGAGACAACCGGGGCCGCCAGCGACATGTGAGGCTGTTCCAGCAAGGGCTTAGAGTCCTTGAAGGTTGAGACAGCCTCCCGCTGCCTCCCGGACTACTGTAGCTGCCCCGGGAACAGGGTAGAACCCATCCGGAATGGCAGCCAGCAGAGCCTGTTGCGTGGCAGGCTAATACCTCGCCAATGAAAGCCACAAGCCGACGGAGGCCCATCACCACCCGACATCATTTGGCAAGCCGACGACCTGATAGAATAGCGCCAGATGTGTCTGTACCTCCGTTAATTGCTTAGCCAAGGTGGAGGGAGGCTAATCTTCTTCCACCCCACCCACATCCAGTAGTTGCCTCTCTGCAACACCGAGATGTAGGGCGAATGGATCGTCACTTTGAGGCATTGAACCGCATTGCGGTATTGCTCTTCAAAGGATCGATAGGGCGATTTAAGCGCTGTAGCGTTAGTCGCGGAACGGCGGAAGCCGGCGACCTTGCTTGGCTGAAGCCATAGAATTACTTCTGATGAACCCCCAGGCGCACGGATGCGTAAAACACAATCGCCAACCACTGGGGATTGTAAAGGCAAGCCTCCCCATGAGGTACCGACGGTCAAGTTCTGGCAAATCAACCTGGACCTGGTACCACAGAGGAGGGGTTGATTACCTCAGACAAGACTGAGGGTAATAGACGCAGCCTTGTGTCCCCTACCTTGGTGGGAGCAAAAGCCTCCCTGGAGGCTAAACTCCTGAGGGTCGGGTGCCAGTACTGACCACTACCTGGGGGCGGGACAGAGGCACACGCCCCGTATCTGCCTCAGGGACGCACCGAGCTTTAAAACCAAAGGCGTGCCTCAACTCCTCCCGACCCTCATCCTCCTCCATAGCCTCCTCGAATCGATCCTCAATGAGTGAGGTCTCTGTAACCAGAGAGAGCTCAGAGGGATCATCCGAGGGGTCTACAGAGAGGGACAAAGGCTCGAGCAGAGCCGGGTTGCCCGGCACACCTGACCCAAGACTCGACACTGAGTCGCGGTGGCGTGACGAGGAAGAGCCCGTGCTGGGATTCCTCAATGGTAGACAAACTGATCCCGACACCGAATGGCCCGGCCAAGCCGGTGCAAGCGGTGGGACCAAATGTGAAGTAGCGGCAACTACAGGGGCTGAGCCTGCCAAACCGGCACTAACTACTGGACCAGACCCAGAGCCAAGGCTCGGGCCGGTAGTAGTTACTACAGCGGAAGGGTGGCCAGCAACCGAGATGAGACTCGGAGCCGACATACCCCCGACAGAAACCCCCACACCAGAGCCTAAGCTAAGGTTGGGAGCACTGCCCGCCATAGACCCGGAACACACACCCGTACCTGGCCGGACGCCAATCTCCCGACGGAGGCCAGCCATCGCGTCAGCCACTAGAGTGTGGACCGAATCCATCTGCTTCTGCAATATATCAGAAAGTAAATCAATTGTTAGCTGGTTAGAAACAGGGACAGGAGGGGGGAAGGTGCCTGTGATGTTGAGGGGATGGCAGGTGAAGGAGCCGGAGGCCCCGCGACCTCGCCCGCTTAGAGCAGCATCCCCAAAAGAGAGCCCGAAGCCTTCCTTTCTTTGCTTTTTATCTTTGTCTTTAGAGGCTCCTGACCCCAAATGTCCCCTCGCCTGAAGTAAGGACGTGTAGAACATGTAATCAGCACGCCTGGACTTGATGGTGCGGGGAAGAAAGCCTGACACATAGAACAACCTTGTTCGGGTCATGGGCTTCCTCCGGCTAAACAACGAAGCAAACCAGGTGGCGATCCTGAGGCGACAAACTGCCGCTACAGGTGACACACCCCTTGGGCTGCAAAAACAGAACCACGCTTATGACAATAGCAAGGACTGTACGATATATATAATATAATATGCACACAACAAAACAGAACAAAATACAACGCCGGGCGATATTTTAACTGTTACAGCAAAGCTATTAAATACTAGCACAAAGCCATAATAGCAAAGCCGCACTTGCATTATAGGTGACAAAGAGCAACATGTGTGAGCCATTAATGCAAACGCCACAATTTAAAACACTCAAGCAAAAACTTACCTAAAGCCTGGAAAAAGAGGAATTTAGGCAAGTATAATCTACAAAATGAAATATCAGCCCCTACGACCCGACTACAAGGCTTTTTCTAAAGCCAGGAGAAGGAAAGCAAACGGGACCCAGCGGGTCCATCATCTTGCCTGCCACGTGGCTGGAGACAGCGAACACGCCGGTAAAGTTACAACAAATCATGAATGAAAAAGTCATATAAAGATTCCAGCTAGCGCCCGAGTTTAAAAAAAAGGAACCATACATACAGGATTTGACTCTATCTCACTCATCGCTCTCTTATTCAGAAGCTGGACCATGCAATCGACCTACACGGCCGACGACAGCATGAAAAGTGAGGTACGAGGTACACAGCCAGAGTTACCTGCTCTTGGCTGTAGGGGGCCCTCTAGGGGGCCCTGTAAGGGTGGTCTCACCACACATAACGAGTTTTTTGTTTGGTAAAATATTTTATTGAAATATTGTTACAACTGTCGTAGGCTTGTAAAATGGACATTTTAATGCTTATATGTACCCCAAGGAGGACTTCTTCTGAAAAAGAATCCAGCTTGCGGCGGAGGTCTGTAAATAATCATTCTGGACCAGATAAACCAGTGATCAACAGCATGAGCATCAATCTATGCAATTGGGATACGATGACATGCGTCAACCAAGCCAGTGAGCCTGACCACCTGATCCCGTTAGTCGCCTCTTACTACAAGAATGAGTTGCTGAAGAACCATTCTAACCTGGATTTTAACTAAGTTCAGTTGCTACTAACCCTGACATCAGCTCTGCGCCCTGCCTCAGTAAGATCACACTTAGAACCATTTGTATAGCTCTGACTGTGGTACTTGCTCTGGAAGCTCTTGGTCTTCAGGCGCTGGTCCTGCAAATATAGATATCATACTGTCACTCGTATGATCCAGCTAGGAGTGGCTAGAAGGCCTGAAGTAAAACAGGACCCCATTTCTCGAAACAAACTTAAGTTTTTACTCAAATCTCAAACTGAGTTCACAATTTGGAACAGCTGAATTTTTAACTCGACTGCAGTTTTTAAATATAAAAGCCCAAACAACTAAAGTAATCTATCCACCAAACTCAAATTATCTTCTATAGTTTGAGTTTAATACCGATTTCAGTTCATTCTGTGAAATGCATTTTCCTGCGTTTTCTCAAATTTGAGTAAAAACTCGAACTCAAGTCAAAACTCAGACTTAAGTTTGTTTCAAGAAATCGGAGCCAGTTTGTCAATGTTTACTACTATTGTCAATAACACAGTCATGGTGATGACAAATCCTGGGTTGTTTGTGTAAAGTTGTCTGAGGTTTTCCACACAACTTATATAGATAGGACTGGGATGATGTACTACCTGTGGACCTGCCTCCCTCTTACCCAGCCATTCTCATTTTAGGCCTCAAGAGTTGGGTGCAAAATGTCTGTTTGGGAATTGTTTTACCTCAGCCTTGGCAAAAAACTATTTTGACAGATTTAACTGATCTGATCATGAAAACACTGAAAACCACTGGAGCTCTATCTTTAATCAAACATATAAAAGTAAAAGTGAGTGAGTGAGTTTTGTTTTACGCCACTTATTCACACATTGTACCCAAGTGGGGAATCGAACTCGGGTCTTTGGTGTGACGAGCGAACGCTTTAACCACTAGGCTACCCCACCGCCCCCTATAAAAGTAAGAAGAATGCTTGCATAGCCCAAAAGAAATGCATGCATGAGGTACTTTTGTTTTTTTGCTACTGCCCTTAAACAATATAGCAAGTGATTAACTAAGGCACCAGGTAGTTCTGTGGGGACCAAGGTCTTACTCAGGACCCACCTGTGCTGCTTGTCCCAGCTCCATCACAACCAGCGGATCCTTTATGACTAAAGGAGGCAACTCTGTACAATTAGTTCCAGCATCAAAGACAAGCATCTTACAGCAACAAACTTTTTTATCAACTTTGTTAAATTATGATACTAAAACATTCTTCACAATACCTTTAAAGTCTCATTGTCCCAATCAAAATCTGATTCATAATGGCCAAGGTAAATGACTTCGCCTTTGACTTTTCCTTCTGTAATCAAATAGAAAGGACAAGTGAGTGAGTGATTTGGTTCAACACCAGTTATATTAACAGTATTCCATATATATCACAGTGTGTCAGCTTAATGTGAAAGAAGAGCTAATGGAGGTGTCAGATGTTTACCATATGGTCAAACCCTGAGTATATTGATGGTGCTGACAAACCTGGAAATGTTACTGGGCTAAACTGGCATTCGAAGCTGCAATCTCATGTTGCTGGCATTTTCAGGGGACACAACTCTTCACAGCGTCCCCCAAATGGAAAGAGTATGGCAGGTCTCAATGTTATATTATTCCAGTGTGCCTCGAATACCCCAAAATACCCCCCAGAGATTGTTAGCCTAGCATGTTTATTGTACAAAATATTGTACAATAAAATGAATAATGCATTATGTAATAAAGAGATGTGTTGTGGCCGTTCAATACTTTCATACCCATGAGTTTACTTAAAACAAACCAACACTACCATATACTACCAATCAGGTCTTCGAAAACCATTGATGTCACTCAAGTGCAGCTTAAGTTTACTAACAAGCCAATCGCACAAGCCTTGCGTGCACACAACCAAACAGTGACGACAATGCTATGGGGCATGGGGTATCTCTCACAGTCACATGGGGATGATTTTACAAAGCGCTTTGTTTTGGAGAAAGAAACCTTTCAAAATTTTCCACAGGACCAGTAAGTGGACAATAATTAGTGGTCCTGTCTGTACTTCACTGGTCCATTCGAAGAGGAAAGGGAGATAAGCTGAAGATCATTAGTCAGGATAAGGAAAAATTAACATGTGTAGATTTACTTTACCATCAATACAAAATTTACTGGCCACCAGGACCACTGCAAACTTATCATTTAGTGCTCCTGATGAATTTTTACAAGCCAGGGACCACAGGACTAGCATAAATTTCGCACACTGCACTTTGATTATTTTCACTGAAGTGACAGATGGATAGCATAGCAACAATTGTTGATTGATAAATGAAGCTCAGTAATCGATCAATAAATGATTGTAATCGAAAACCCCACCACAAAACCTATGTGGGCAATAACAGGCCACAATCTTTACACTGTGCAAATAAAACAGGCACTGATTAACACCGCATTAAAGATGATGAAGGATACTTCTGTCGAGGCATGCACAGATATATGTTGTTTTCATTGCTGTTTTCATTTTTTATGAATATTCATTAGTCTCACAAGCCCATCTATAATCGCTGATGCAAGCAAGATCGATTGGTTGACCGAATAATCAATCAATCTCTCAAGCACCAATAGCTGTGGGGATTGAATCAAATAATGTCAAGAGCTTTACTGAGAAGTGTGACCGCAACTATCTTGGCTACAAAAGATAGCAGTGCTGTAATGATTGTACGTTACGACTTTGTCTATAGGTGCACTTGTACTCACCCTCAATGTGCATTTGTCGGATAAACTTTCCATAGCAAAACTCATAACTCCACCAGTCTTTAGTCTGCAACAGAAGTATATTTCAAGTTGCTGGTATACTATGTTCATGTCAAATGACAACAATGTTTAATGTACAAATAAATTGAAACCAAACACACCCAAACATTTCAATATCCACATGATCAGTATGCATGACAAGCTCACTTGTGATAATGCACAATCCTAAAATGAACGATCTTTACTCCAATGCTTTTTCCATGAGAACTTTTTGGCAATTTTTGCGGAAATCCAACAATAGGTGACAAATCAGTCTCACACAATGTACTCATGTAGGGAATCGAACCCAGGCCTTCAGCATGATGAGTGAATACTTTAACCACGAAGCTATCCACTGTGCCATATCCAGTGTATGAAATAAGTCAAAAGCCCAGCCAGACATCAGGGCTGGTAACTTCAAAATGTTACCAGCCCAAAATGGATTTAGCCAGACCAGACAATCCAAAGAGAATAACTCAATTTTAAGTTATTGTTTAGACGCTGTTTTAAGGATGATATATGTCAACGCAGTGCTTTGAGCTTGCAATACGATAGTTCAATGTTCAAACAGTAAATGTCAAGTCTAAATGCAAAGTTCAAATTGAAAAATAGATTTTAAGGTACGGTGAATTTATTCAGATGTATGGAACATGTTATCTAAATTGTTTACCAGACCATCGGGCTGGCTATCTGTGAATTTAGCCCGTCCGTCAGAAATCTAGCCCATCTGGGGCGGTCGGATGGGCCTTATTTCATACACTGCCATATCCACAACTTTTGGCGATTTGAAACAAACTCTTTCATAAACAAAATTAAAAAAGGTCAATGTGGTTAACTTTTAACCAAGCATTTCCACATTCATCAGTATTTTTGCAGTTCCTTAAACCTAATTAAAGCAATATCATGGCGGGGGACACCAGAAATGGGCTCCACACACACATTGTACACTGACGAGTTTGGGGCTTTTAGCAATATTCCAGCAACATCCGGCCGGGGACCCGAAATGGTCTTCATTGTGCCCATGTGGGGATTCGAACTCACCTTGAAAAAGACAGCCCTGTGTCTTGAAGGGCTTCAGTAGCTGCAGTATCCCGGTCTCCAGGGCCAGCTTCTCCTCCTCTTCCTTTTGTTTCTCCTGCTCCACCTGGTTTGGGAAGCTGCACTGGTACGCCTGGCCGAACTTTGAACTCAGCTGCACAACACTGCCAGGCACTTCCTGAAATAAAAAGGGTAAAAGGTTGATAATAAACTGATAAAGAATATATTCTATGATTGTAATTGGTGAAAAATATATTTTCAGCAGCTCTGTTTCAGTTCACTGCAAACAGTCAGGGATGTCTTGACAGAACTTGAAATACAAACCTTCACACACCATGATAATTCCTGACGCACAGTGGAAATGTGTTATGATAAAAGCATCTGACCTTGCTGATGTGAAACGCAAATATGCTGAGTATGGATCAGCTGATTTCAGGTAATATATTTTCTTCAAGACTCATTGGCAACCCTTTGGGCTATTTTTGTTCTTGTAACTTCTTACACAAGAATCTTATGAACATCCACACTTGATTTTATTTGAAGAGATGAAAGGCCCATTTCATGACCGGAATGAACATGAATAAAAAGACCATTGATCAAGTTGATCATCTAAAACAGCCAGGATATATCGTGGATAACGTGCCCTTGGTAGAAATATTCAAACTGTGTCAAATATTCAAATATGTAAACGTGGGAAGGAAGCCTGATGTAATGCAAATCTCTGACCACTTTAGTGAAACCTACAAACACAATCCTGAACCAGAATTTGAACCCATGATCATATTTTCTGGTATGTTTAAGGGACAGACTCAGCACTGTGAATTCATACATACTTTTAAGTTGACACACCCAATGTATAGGTGAAAAGGTTTGCCTTGAGAACAAGGTGGGTGGATTACATTTTAATTAAAAGAATATAGAGCATAAAAAATATGCTAAAATAAAGGAAGCTAATAAAACATACAAAAAACATGCTGAGTGAGCACATATGCTACAAATGTTTAAAAATACTTAACTAGGGGAGCAGTGCATTTTACCGAGCGAACTCATTCAAGATGAACTTGATCATGTTAACTGCATGTCATCACTGTTTATCTCATTCATGAACTGATAACATGTTAATGACATAATTAACTAATATGTACACTGGTGGCCCTAGCAGAAGCTGCAAAGTATAATATGTCAGCGTGTCTTTACGCCCCCAAAAATTGTTATTGTCTTAATGAACACAAATATTTCATACGGTGGAATTATTAATGTTAATTATGATATGACATCTCGTTACAATTTGGCTCCAGCATCATATTTTACAAACCTGTCCCATTTTTACGGGCACGTTGACAATATCTATACCATAGTGAGTAGATTTTAACTCCTCAAAATCAAGGAATGACTTCGACTGCGGTAGAAGCAGCACCAGGAGACCACATAATCGCAAAAGCCTGTTTGTTTTGGTCGCCATTTTGAAGCACCTGTAAATCAGAGATTCCAAAACGTGGACGGGAAACATGATTCGAAATAACAATTCCGAACAAATAACAATCTGGCGATGTCCTAACTTATATTAAATACCAACGATCAAAGGCGGTATCACAAAACAAATTTGATGATTGTTTCCTGTAACATTATGTAACTTTATGAGACTGTCTCTATTAGCAGCATCATAATGAAAAGGGTTGGCTTCAAGAACAAACCGAGGAATGATAATTTCGGGAATAAAAAACAATGTAAAATAGGCTTCCTATATATCCTGAAATATTAATTCAAAGCAATTGTGTGCCATGCCAGGTGCCACTATATTAAGGGGCATTGGATCTCACATAAAAGCCGGGCGGTGGGGTAGCCTAGTGGTTAAAGCGTTCGATCATTACGCCGAAGATCCGGGTTCGATTTCCCACATGGGTACAATGTGTGAAGCCCATTGCTGGTGTCCCCACCGTGATATTGCTGGAATATTGCTAAAGGCTGCATAAAACCTTACTCACTCACTCATATATAAGCCTGTTTTGTCTCACCTTGCTCATTTCTGTCTGATGAATGATCGGCTCCCTCCCTCTTCGCAAGATAACACTGTGATATCTGAGACAGACTGAAGTCCAACAGGATTCCTAATCCAACACCACAAGCAGAGACCAACTACCTATAATTGTTTAGAAATGTAAACCAATAACCAAACGAAGAGTCGAATGTGACTATATGGTGAACATGTGTATATATCATTCCCTTTGCGAAAGGTGAGCGTACATGTAAGAACAACAAAAGTAATAAGACAACAAAGATACACTCTACATAACAGAACAAATGGAAGCCAACATTAACTGTGTTAGCTTCTATTCAGTGCTGATTGACTGTTATAACCAGGGGCGGATACAGCTTTTTTGAGAAAAGGAGGGGTGCACATTTAATTTTCACCCGAGTTTCAATGGTCATTTAACAAACTTTCAGCACCAAAGGGGGGTGCCCCCACCCCCCACCCTCTGGATCCGCCTATGATAAGTGTCTGTGTTGTCTTATTACTTTTGTTGTTCTTACATTAGTCTGTCTCACAGTCCCTGAACCACATTATTTTCCCCACTGCCAAGCTCTCTCTCTGCAGTGCTAAAGCCCTAAATAAAGCAAGTCTAGATTTCCTCAATCTCTGGTCTCCCTGGGGCTCCTTTTCAATTTAAATGGGCTTGTTTGTTACTATCAAAATTATATATATTCAGAGACTAAGCATTAGTCTATTCTTACATGTACATGTACATATATATGTTCTCTGCCCCATACCATTAATTCACCTGATGAAAACCGTGAAGATCCGGGTTAGAATGAACCTTCAGTAACCCATGCTTATCGTAAGAGGCGACTAACGGGATCGGGTGGTCAGGCTCGCTGGCTTGGTTGACACATGTCATCGGTTCCCAGTTGCGCAGATCGATGCTCATGCTGTTGATCACTGGATTGTCTAGTCCAGACTCGATTATTTACAGACCGCCGCAATATATCCGGAATATTGCTGAGTGCAGTGTAAAACTAAACTCACTCACTCGCTACTCTGATGAATTAAGGAGTAAGGATATGCTCCGAAACGTTGTGTTCCTCATAATAAAGAAGTTGACATCCATAAAAACTGCCTCTCTTCCTCCTCCGTTTGTCTGCCAATAAGACTGCTTAACAGGTTGATTGCGACCTTTAATATAGTGAGTCTGATGATAAAACATTTGAATAATAGTCAAACATGCTTCCTTTAGTGAATAGATATGGTAGTTTGATAGCTTTATTTATAACCAAATAGAGACAGCACCAAAATGTGGTTACAATTCAACATAAATTCGAAGAATTTACGATTACTTGCCAAACAAAAGTATTCCACTATTTTCATTGACTGCAATAATTATTTAGACGTATGATATATATATATATATATTGTACGAACGCTTCAGTAAGTATTCGCGAATTGAGACACGGGTGAATCCATGATTCGTTTGTATTCCGGTACACAATTTGTGTCAACAAAGTCTACCTCAGCATTACAATGTATGATGGGTAGATTCAGCGAATCACCGGCGGGCTATTTGATGATGGCAGTCAGAGAGAGGAGTGTGTAATTGCAATCAAATCAGAGCAGTCAGATACAAATCACACTCCCAGGTAAAAAATGAGCCTGACGTTCTAGACGAATGGCTGCACAGAGTTGTCATATCTATATAACGTCGTTTTTTGGTTATTCGTGCATGAAATATTCCCGACATAACATGACATTCACTCAAACACACGTCACATGAAAATGCTGACTGGACAAAATTAAGTAATCAGGAGAGATGCTGTGTATGAGAGTATAGTCACATGAGGTAAATTTTGTGTTTTCCAAATGCAAATGATATTTTGATATCATGTTTTTAATGTATTTTTTAGTCAATTGGAACCATTCTTAAAGTCTTTGAACATTTTCAGTCCCTTTTAACTCCCTTCATTTGGGGAGGACCCGTGAAGATTGATCTTTAGTAACCCATGCTTGTCGTAAGAGGTGATTAACAAGATCAGGTGGTCCGTCTCGCTGACTTGGTTGAGAACTGTCATCGTATCCCAATTGCTTAGATCGATGTTCATGCTGTTGATCACTGGATTGTCTGGTCCAGACTTGATTTTTTACAGACCACCACCATATAGATGGAATATTGCTGAATATGCCATAAAACTAAACTCACTCACTCATTTGGGGAGTATACAGCCTGAATTAATTATGTATAATGACACAATTGTTGTCCATAATTGACATACTTCTCTACTTGCAACCAGCCCTAACTGGATATTAAAGATAATTGTATGACACAAAATAGAATTCTGCATATTGCATAATTTTGTGTCAGAATATAGCCTATTGGTTTGCCATTGCAGTGGTAAATGTAATAATTATAGTGGGATCTACACCTTGTAATGTTTTTTTTTATATGACGTTTAATTTCAAATAAAGGGGCTTATGTTTTAAATTTAACCCTTTTATATACTGTTTGGTGTATATCATGGTACATGTTATTGGCTGTTATCGTCATTTTCTGTATTTTAGTGTTAAAAGAACTACAGGGATAGACATTAACGCTAGCCTACTCATCCCAAGCAGTTTTGTCAGTGTTAAAGGTTACCTTAGGGCAAGTAGAGTTTCAAACAGTTTCAGGGTTATTCCATCACTGATATAGTTTTATAAGCTGAGCATATTAGACCAGAAATATACCGGACTTAGAACTCTCAGACTGTCATGACTGACCAAGCAGGGGTGGAAATAACCCATTGCCTGACGCCCGAGTCCAGTGTTTTTTTCTGTCGGGCAAGCCAATTTGTATATCACACTGTACCGGTGTCCAGTTGACTTTCCAATGTTAATTATGTTCTTTATGTAAAAAATCAACAAGAAAACAGCAGGTATAGTGGAAAAATTATCAGGGCAAGTGATTTTACATGTGCCACTGTACCGGAGTACACTAGCAATTTTAAAGTTATTTCCACCCCAGCCAAGAATCAGCAATGTCATTATAAATAGCTGCATTTTTATGAGTTAGACATACAGAAGAAGCTATAGTACTTTTTCCACTTGCATCTAGTCAAACTATGTAAAATTTGCTGTCCAAAGTTATGTCCCTTGGACATGCCAGGAACCTGTGATTGTGGGTTCAGATCCCAATTCACTCTGATTACGTTTCAACATTTGTCAGCTCTAAACGTGCTTGCAGGTGTCATAAAAGTGGTAATGGTCTGAGATGTCCATTCCTTCAGGCTTTCTTCCCATATTAAGCAGACCCACTTCTCTATAACTGGATCACTGATACTCCCACTGTAAACTTTTATATTGGGTATGTGACCATGAATAGCACATATATGAAGGAGCGTCATTATTCCTCTTCTGCTGGAAGACCGACGCTATAATGGACATCATGGTCTCAAAGTCAAAGATTGGGGTGTCTTTGAGGTGTGCTTTCAACTAAATTGCTTAAAAAAAAAAACACCCTACAAAGTACAAAGTGAGAAAGATGGCCAACAGTAAAAAAGTGCCTTTGATTATTTCCTGTTAATTATTAGGTGCTCCTAAATGCCAGAGAGTGTGGTGTCTTCAGTGAAAGACCAGGCCAACCCTAGCTGTGTATTGATCAGCTGTTGACAACAGTTGAGAAGTGAAAATGTGACATCATTCAGCTTGCAGACTGAATGGTTAACCCTTTACAAAATTAGGAGGGTAGCCTTGTGGTTAAACCATTTGTACATAATTGTACATACATACATGTAAGCACATATAATTCACTGCATATGCATTGATCATCTTAGTGTGGCCTGGTCCCATTAAATCATTCATTAAATCAAGTTCCATGTTATGAATATTGAACAAGCTTATCCGATGTAAATATATATATATTTTTTATTAATTAATAAAGTATTTGAAACTTTAAGAAAATTTCAAATTGAATTTACAGATGTTTAATGTTACCATGGTTACCTGTCATGTTGGTATTCGTTCAGTGTTCTTTTCATGTGCTAAAGTCGCAGTGATATGAACCGATTGCTTGTCAGTATTTTCTGATTTGAGTAAACATGACTCAGGAATAATTCACGACAGAGAGATACCTTTTATGCAGTAATGGCAGTATCCATTCATTTAGTTTCCACCGCCTCTGTGGTGTAGCTGTTAGAGCGTCCGTCGAGGTTAGAAGGTTCCGTCCGGAGACTGCATCGTTAAAATATGGTACTTGTTGGTCCCTGCCTGGCGCTCAGCATTAATGGGTACAAGGACTGGTCGGCTCGGAGTCAGTATAATGTGTCAGAGAAGGGTATTCATGCTTCACTGCGGCATGGTATCTCAGTGGGCTAGCACTATAAAACCTGCTTAAGTCTGGACTAGTACAAGCAGCCGCACATACGCATACACACGCATGCATGTCGTCATATGAGCGAAATATTCTCAAGCACGACGTTAAACCCAATTTCACCT